AATAAGGAAACCTCCCAGTATGAGTAGTTTAGAAACATTAGAATATGCTAGAGAGCTCACCAGATTTCAAAATGCTGGACATCAGCTTCTTTTTCCATTGCATTGTTGATGTTTTAGGGTTGAGTATAATGCCGCATAAGATTTTACGAACTACGACCCAATGCTTTTCATGGATTTCGGTTGATAGAAACTTTTTGAATTCTTTGAAAGGCATTTCAGCAATGTAAAGGGCAGTGAGGGCCTCCTGTTTAAGCAAAAAAAAACCATTTGAGCAATGCAATACTCGAAACTAAGAAGGAAGTTTTATCTACTATCAAACGTAAGCCATGAATTTAAATGTTATGGAATGGAACGGCTTCATTTGACGAAATAAATTTTTGGTTTGAAATTTTTGTCCTCATGGTTTGATTATATATAACTCTACGTGAATGAACCCACAGGCTTAGCTTTAAAAATTTGTTAGTTTCGAAACTAAGCTGGTCTGGATATATATAATATTGAACCCTAAAACCCCACCTAGTCCTAGTGGATCTAATTCACCTACTTGGATTGTCTGATGCGTAAATAAATAAACAAGATGTCCTTCCAGAAGCCTTTGATTTAGCCCGATTGATCCAGGAAATGGTATCATGATATCTTTGAAATGATCCACAGTAATTCCTGGGGGTAAATCTGATTTGGTGAAAGTAACTTTCTTGTTTTTTGTGCCCTTGAATGACATTTTCTTCAAGCTGTGAACGACGTCATAGATAGACATTCCAGTTTTCATTTGGTTCATGGTGATATGTTCGGATCTTAAGGTGTCACGCAGGACAAACAACAAAACTTCTGTCATTGTGTCGGGACTATATTGCTCATAGATTATCAAGACTGATACCGTGAAAATGAGGAACATTGGTATGGAGCATAGAGAGAAGATAGCCTTAGCTTCATTCTGCAGACGATTCATGACATAGGCACTCTTGTCTCCACTGAAAGCTTTGACAAGTTTTATGACGTCTTCTTCAGAGAACCCTGCCAACGCGATGATTCTCTCGGGACGGGCCACTCCTTCAAAATTTCGAATGACATGCTCACGTGAGGAGTAAAGAATGCGGATGCCTGGGTAGAGCTTGCCAGCGAGGATGAGGTTTAGAATAAGCTTGGGATCTGCTTTCTCTTTATGATTGCATTTGCCATGTGGGATTCCAAGACTTTCGGGAGAAGAATATTGATCAGCTCCATCAAGAACGAGAAGAAATCTTTCAGGATATTCCCTGATCCATCCAACACCCATGTCAATGACATCGTCATTCAAATCCGTTTTCCCAAATAAGAAATTTTTTGGGCTAATTCTTCTATGAACCTCAAGATCTCGGAAGTCCATGCGATGAACAACCTCAACCTTCTAAGCTCTGGTATCTTACCATCGAGCACATTAACGGGGTATGTTTTTGTCATTTCAGTTTTACCATATCCAGCTCCTCCTATCAGCGCAACTCTTGATTTTCCATCTGAGAAAAAGTTCTCCATGGATATTGGGTTGCCAGGTTGTTTCTGAGTTTGCTGACTGAAACCCACTTCTGGTTTGTACTCGGATTCTTGTACTGTGGTTTCGTAATAGTCAACTTCAACTGTTTTGGGATTGGTTTTGAAATCGGGGGTTTTGAGATACTTCTTTTCGATGGGCTTCGCACTTCTCCTAGTTAAATCGTTGATGCCATGCTTAAATTCTTGGACTTTTTCTGTGACATGAAACAAAAAATAATCTGGCATTAGCACAACATGTATATTCTTGTTTTGTTCATTGATAGATGCATAGCATTTTCAGAAGGAATTACAAAGTATTTATGGAATTAATTTAGTCTCAATAGACAAAATCGTAGCTTTATTTAACAGTCTCATTTCAGAAGAAGAAATTTCATAAGATTTATCACAGCCTATTTGAAAGCTGCAGCCTTGCCAGGAAGGCACTGATATAGTCTTGCTATAATAGTCAGTCACATCGTTTTCCACAACCATAATTGTGTTTGAAAATGGCACAAGTTTCTGAATAAACTTTTATAAGAATTATTTATATGAAAAGCATTTCTAATGCCTTGGTGAAATCAGAATAGCTTTGTTGGAAAAAGAACAGACATACGGAGAAGACACATATTCTTTTCATGCGAACTTAGAAATCTAAAAGCTTTCACTGATAGACAATGAAATTTAGGAGGGTAAGGAAGAGTAGTACAGTCTCACATAAAACTCGTATTTTTTGGAATTTTATTGTCCTCCCATTAACATAGCATATCTCCTGAAACTCGTATACATTGTAATTTCAAATCTTTTAAAGAAAGATTGATGTAACACCAAAGTGCGCACCTGAACATAATAAACTCCCAACTTGGAAGATTTAGCAGTTTTTTAACCTAATTTCAGTGTAAACAAAACGTTAAAAATTAATCATCTATTATACAACCATACACCTCAGTAAAGTGCCTTCATCCTCTGAATTCCAGAAAGTATAGCTTTTGTCCATGCTATCCAGAGTCATGCAAGTACAATACTGGCAAAACATGTTGATCGAGATCAAGGTTAATCAACTGACCTGTATAACTCCCCCCTCCTACAGCTGCTTCCTGCTCACTTGATGTATTGGTTGGTTGAAGTGTCAGAAGGTCTATGGCGATCAGGAGTGTTGTGGTGATGGATATGGGTTGTAGGAACTGAAACAATATAAATACAGGTTTAGTTTACAGTCATGGCTTTACCTTTATCATGTAAAATGAAACTCTCGAAAAAGCTTTTGAGTGAATGTAATACCGAAAATATAGTATTTTTCAAGAAGATAACAATGTGCCAACTATAAATAGGATATATTCATTTTCTAAATTCTTTGAATACAACGTAAATAAAACGGAAATTTTTATCCGTTGTTATTTTCATTCTCGAACAAATCTGTTATTACTGGAATAAACTATATTGGCTTCAATATTTCATAGAACAACTAAACAGGTTACTTGGTCTGATTGATTTAATGGTAAGAAACATCTTTTGTTATTTTGGTTTTGCCATTAGTATTAGATAGATAAAATAGCGATTTGGCAACTCAAAGAGAACTAAGATTTAGCTCATGAAGTTGGATCTTTTGGATAGGTTAGATATAACATTTCATATGAAGTGGGATTCATGGTATGTTCTGGGTTAGGATAGATATAAAACTTAGGCAAATGGTTAGAGTAAGCATATGAAGTGGATTCATGGTATGTTCTGGGTTAGATAGATATAAAACTTTGGGCAAATGGTTAGAGTAAGCATATGAATGGATTCATGGTATGTTCTGGGTTAGGATAGATATAAAACTTTGGGCAAATGGTTAGAGTAAGCATATGAAGTGGATTCGTGTATGTTCTGGGTTAGGATAGATATAAAACTTTGGGCAAATGGTTAGAGTAAGCATATGAAGGATTCATGGTATGTTCTGGGTTAGGATAGATATAAAACTTGGGCAAATGGTTAGAGTAAGCATATGAAGTGGATTCATGGTATGTTCTGGGTTAGGATAGATATAAAACCATAGGAAAATGGTTAGAGTAAGCATATGAAGTGGGATTCATGGTATGTTCTGGGTTAGGATAGATATAAAATCTTAGGGAAATGGTTAGAGTAAGCATATGAAGTGGGATTCATGGTATATTCAGGTTTAGTATAGTTATATAACCATAGGAAAATGGTTAGAGTAAGCATATGAAGTGGGATTCATGGTATGTTCTGAGTTAGTATAGATATAAAACCATAGGAAAATGGTTAGAGTAAGCATATCAAGTTGGACTCATGGTATGTTCTGGGTTAGGATAGATATAAAACCTTAGGAAAATGGTTAGAGTAAGCATATGAAGTGGGCAATAAAGTGCAGGAACCGAATGATAAAGTCATAATAAACAACTGCATGCTTGGAAAACAATGCAAAACTCTTGATAATATTACCAGTAGAGGATGTTCCCTGATGTCCATGTGCACCAGATGGTGTCATACTTCCAGAGCCACTTGCAGCTATAAAAGGAAAAAAAATTCATTAATTAAAAACAAGTAACCTTTGGGTTAGAATAAATATTTCAGCAGTTATCTCACATAACTTGAACTTGTCTAAATGACCTAGAGACTTGACTTAGAGAGGACTTTAATGAGTCCTTGCTTAAGAGAAAATTTCGATGAAACACGATTTACTAAGTTAAATTATACTTTTCGATTTTATAAATAGTGTTGTTTTTTCTAAAGTTTTCAATGGTACCCATATATACACATTTCTTTGTTGTTCATGACTCAGACTCACTAGTGACTGAAATTGACTTCAGATTTAATGATCAGGATTTCGTCATACTAAAGAAATGACTCGGCTTGATTCAAGACTAAGATTTAAACTTTGTAACCAGAACTTGGTATGTAAGACTACACTATGTGTAAACACTATGTATGTAAGATGAATTCACATATAACAATTTTTTTCAAATATTTCATTTTTGGCTTATTTCACTTTAGGTCCCTCAATGATTCAGTCCTATATCTCTGCAAAAAACTACCTTCTCCTCCAGTTGCCCCTCGTGGATCCACAAGCGGTTCAGATGATCGGGAACCAAATGGAGATGCACCAAGTTGAGGTGATGGAACACTGGACACTCTCTTCGGTTCTTCACATCGTGCAACTGAACAAAAATTGAGGATGCAACATTATAATAATTGTTTTATTGTTTTTTGAAAAATCATATCTAACAAATTTTTAGAATTATTCAACATTGCCTTTACTCTAGTATATTTGAACCATGTATGTGCGCCTTATGTATGAACAAATCCTCAATCTAAGCAATTTATTTAGTGTGCGCTTTATAACCCGGTTGCCCCCTATGGTTCTTGAAATACGATACTCAATCCTACCTTCACCTCCAGGTGACCCTTCTGGCTTTGGGAGTTGATCGGCTGATTGAGATAGAGATGAACTGAGTGGAACATTAGACACTCTCTCCTCTTCCACAGATTGGCGCGAGTGTTGTTGGATGAGGAGAATCTGTTCAGAAATAATGTTCAAACTACATAGCAATATTTCAAGGTTACTCATGTTTCAATATATGTTATACACAATCAAGGGTTATCCTAGAGGAGGGCGCTTCCTTATACAAGTTGTTTGTGTTGTTGTTAATTAATAATGCAAACCTGTCCATTTACTTGACATTCAATTAATTTGTCTCGTGTATAACATACTTGTTTAGCCCCAAATTATATTTGAAGTTTGGTTCAGAGGCATCATTATGAGAAACACGCCTCGGGCAGCAGAAAAGTTTGGCACGAACCACAATATGTTAACTAGAAACCTTTAAAGAACTCAATAAGTGCACGTCCGCAGAGCAATTTTGCCTATTTCTTCACAAGCTGTATACCACCTAATAGTGTGGAATGATAGAATTGCATTCATACCCCCACATTGCCCTGCATTGCCTGCTACAGATACACCTATGTCTAAAGTTATCAGTACCTTGGTCAGATTCATCATTTTCATTCAGGAAACCATCTACTAGTTGCCAGATTTTTTCAGTTGTTGCTGATTCACCTGCATGAAATGAATTGAAAGAAAAAAATAAAATTTTGAACAAACGTGTGTCCGGCAAATTGCTAAATAAATAAAATTTTGCATTGTGAGAATTTTTTGTGGGGCCCAACTATATGTCTGAAGTTGGGTATATGCCCCACGAAAAATGTTGAATGAACAGTTATGCACACCTGGTCTAAATAATAGACATTAAGGTAAACTATCAATACTCACCATTCTTGTATTTCCACTGAGTCAACATTTGCAGATTCCTTTCTTCAACAGATCTTGCATTGTCCTTTATGTTTTCGACTTCCAGCATACTGAGCGATAAACCTTTCCTAGACAATGCAAATCTTTTAACTGCGCAGCGTTGGCAAACTTTCGGAACTTCCAGAAAAGCATCTTCGATTCTGGAACCTGTTGGAAGGAAAACCAGAATAAATACGAACCCCTATTCTCGCTACATTCGATGTATTTAAATATAAGCCACATGCCCGCCAACTTTTAGAGATCAGGATATAACCCCATGCAACCACTTCTGGAGATCTGGATACAAACCCCATGCCCACCATCTAGAGATCTCAGATATAAACCTCATGCCCACCACTATTTAAGATGTTGGATACAGAACCAATTTCTAATAACTCCTGGGATCTGACCCAAATGGAAAGTATTTTTACAATCCTAGATTGAATGCTTGTCGAGAACTTTGTATGGCACAAAGGTGTGAAACAGGTCATGAAGTAAACTTACCGGTGACACCACTATTCTCTGCCTTGAGATGTTTCTCAACAACCTCTCTGATATATCTGGATGTTGCATTTGATCCTGAAATACAGAGAAAATATGACCAATTTATGAGTAAATATTTTATTGTGTGAATCCATCATCAGGTTCCTCAAATGAATCATGACTCCGACTTGACTATGGCTCTCAAGTCCTGATCGTGAAATCTTTGTCTTAGGCTGCGATATTAAATAACGTTTTACATTCTTTTCAATACCAGAAAACGCAATAGCTTGAGTTTCTAACTCCCCACTTTTAGAATCATAAAACTCGACTCTGAGGCTGTGTTGAGTAGTAACCATGTCTCCAATTTCATAGCCAGCAATACACGTAGACCTACAACTTCACAAGTTAATGAGGTTACTCAACGCTATGTAAAACTGGAATGATGTGTTTCTCATATTTCGTTTCAAGCACAACCTTATACAAGCAACTGATCAAAACTTTCCCACAAACCTACCCGTTTAAGGAAAACAAACAAATATTTACCATTTTTTTCTTTCCAAAGTTGAAGCATCTCAAACTTTTGATCTTCAACAGAACTTGCATTATCTTCAATAATTGTTGAGATTTCATTGATACTGAGTGCGAGACCTGTCCCAGCTTGTGCAAACACTTTGAAATGTTTAAAAGTTGGAAATCTCTTCAAGATATCAGTGCAAGTGTCTTCAAATCTCTCATTCTCTCCTGAAATATTGATTAGACTTGCTTTACACGATTGCTATGAATTAAGCCTAGTACAAGTATGAACAGTCGTAAGCAGCGACTACACAATGAACATAAAATTGTTAACATAAATATTATCTTGTTTTATCACCACACCCATGCAAGTTCACTTTTCCAATCTTATGATAAATCAACTTTTCCAACTTCCAAAATACGTAACAAAACCATTCTACATTAAATCTTACTAGATGACAGTAGAGAGTCATTATTTTATCCAATTGGTTACTAGTCATTTAATTACTGGTGAAAGGGTTAGGGTGACACAACATTAGTACACTGCTAAGCATTTCTAATTTGGAAAATTTACGAATTGCGTGAAAAAAAAAATTCACATCTATCTACTATGTTTATAGCAACTTCTTCTCAAACATATATTTTTAACAACATTTCAATATTTTTAAATATTTGAATCATCTAGGCTTTTCCTGACTGAATAATTATCAATTACTCCAATTATTTCAAAACCACCTCACCTGCTGTTGCCCCTTGTGGCTCTGGATGTTG